CGTCTAACTCCACACATACTAATTCACATGTTGTGAAAATAATCAATCTAAATTCCAAAATGTCCTCAAATTAACAAATATACCAGTTGTATTCGGCTGAACACACAAATGGACGTGAAACCTAATCGCAAGTATTCACCTGTAATTCTCTATTTATGCTAAAAAACCTATAATTATGCATAAAAGTAAGCGCTTCTATAAGCGTGGACTAATTGACTGTGGTCTGGGAGTAGACAACGCAGAAATGGTCAAGTACTTTTTTAATTATAGATTTGTTTGATTTTTTGAGACTGCTAACATTGACGGCTAATATGATTGTCTGTTTGTAACAATTTGTATTCTGGCCTGCTGCTATTCTAAGACACATGGCAGATAATTTTGTTGCTGTCCAAATGGATGTTATCTCAGAAATAGAGACATCAATTAGGAATACATCACACATACCGGAGCTAATAGAACATAAATTAATACCTGTAAGTAGGAGTTGCAATGTCGCATACTGTGAGAGGGATGTAAGCGTACAAATCATATGTAACAATATGCAAAAGTACAAGATATGAATACTTGAAATATCCTTGGGTATGCCATACTGATGAAAAGGATGAAAGGCTTTCTGGAAAGGGAGAATTGAGACGATATTCGGAGCACAAACTGGCACAAGAGACGTACTTTATTGAGTGAAACCTTATTCAATCCATTTTCAAATGTTACACAGACATTTAACAGCGAAGAGGAGACTAACCTCGCGGACTTCTCTTTGGTTTCAGCTGGCTTCTTAATTTTAAATTACATTCTAAAGAGTCCTTGTCTAAATTTCGTAATTTTCAAATTGTGTACATTGAAAGACATGTTAGCTAAAAAACCTGAGCAGCTGAAACTGAGGTGATTTCGGCGAGAAAAGTTAGTTAATTATGGCTCAAATGAAGATATTTAGTTTCTAGTTGAAGTTCTAAAAAAGTATTCAAATTTAGGACGTGGTAATACCAAAAGCCTATTCTCAAGAACAATCATTAGCCTCTATATTTTTTCAAAATAAACAAGTTATATCTTTCAATTACCTTCTAGAAATTTCCGTCCATGCATATAACAGTGAAGCAGTAGACAGATTTAGTGATCTTTCACAAATGGTTTAATTTTTAACAAAAATAAAAAAACAGTTCAAAAAATTAAAAACATTTGGAACACTGTTCTTACGGAATTAAATCCACTTTTCTGAACCACAATAACCTCTGGGTTTTGGGCGAATGTGAGAACAAAGCACTCTTGCTCGTGTTGACTGAGGGTCTTATGGTCAGATGACCTTCTCACCACGCGGTAAAGTTGATGTACTTTAGAAGAACATATCCAAACTGGTCACAAAACACCATCCACCTACTCAGAGTGTTGTCTCGCCGTGCCTAAATGTTAGTGATTGGCGTACACAATATCTTTGACCAAGCAAATTTTACCACTGAGAACGTGAACCAAAAGCATTTCCAAACAATTTCAAATTATGCCACGCAGGTCACATTGTGAAAGTACATCTCAACGGACTCACTCGTTCTTCCGAAAGAACAGCAAAATCATTCCCGCGTGTTGAACACCGCCCATTCCGAAGTAACTCCCTCCGTGCAATAGCGTATCCTAGATGCAAATGGGTCATCCTGTCTACAGTGCCTTTTCTACCATGCGAAGCCCTATAAAATTAGCCTGGATATTTATTTTTGAATTGTCTGTGCGTGTGCTGCGTACACTATAAGGCTTTAAAAATTTGCACTTCTGAGATCTTCTCACCGCGTATGCAATAAAACTTCGTTAAGTCTGTGTGAGTACCATTCAACAGCGATCACCAACCGGCTGACTGGGAGCATTTCTCCTTAAAATGCATTTTCCCGAGTAGGCAGGCAGTATGACAACACTATCAACCGTGAGTCTCAGAGAAGCGCAAGTCATATGAAGCCAATTCCTCCACAGCTATCATAAGCAACTCAGTGCTGATCCGCAGTCGGATCTTTTCCACATAAGCCTCTCGATAAAAATTAACACCCGCCACCCAAAAAAGATTAGAAAAAAAGGATGCGAAATTCTTACTTTTGGTTTTTGTTGATGAGGATGAAATCGGGCAATGTTATCGATAATTTGCATGAAAAAGTCCGTTTTTCGGAACCTTCGCCCCCAAACAAACAAACTCATACAAGTAGCTGTTCACTAAAGATCGGTGTGTGTGCCGCATTAGCATTTATTCTGCATCTTGTAGTCGTGCCAAAGAGATTCGATCGTTTGTTGTCGGATCCATAGATTTTTCGGTGTGATTAACCGTTTCATGAGCATGATTCATGTCAATCGTCGTTTCAATTCCTTGATATGATGCTTACATATCGGAGATGATGATTGAGCCGAGAGCAATGGAGGCCTAGACTATGCCCATCAAAGTGCCCGCAGTTCGATCTGGCACTGCACACCTGAAGACTATGTCCATCAAAATGCCCGCAGTTCGATCTGGCACTGCACACCTGAACACCTCTTTATTTTCCCTGCAAATCCTTAGAAAATCCACTGCTGGAAAAGGACTTGCCCTGCGTGGTTTTTTCGGCAAGATATTAGCGTATCATCGGTCTCGACGTGTAGACCTCTGCCGCCGATAACTGCTGGAGTCTGCAAAGGCAGCGGGCGCAAACCTCGTGAAGATAGTTCTTTCAGTTGTGTAGCTAATAGGAAATTTTCTGAGCAGAATTCGATTTCCGCCGAATTTTTGGACCAGCAATAAATGAACAAAATTACTGTCCTAAACTTCATCCTAGACCGCTACAGTCAAGTTCCCTTTCGAAGACTGATTTCTTGCCGACACTGTTGGGCATTTACGTTGCTGATGGATCACTCCGTGGCTTTGCAAAAGACGTATTGCCGGCTCCTTGTCATGAACCAGGGCCGAAAGCGCCGGAAAGTTCATTTAATGTTTTACGTACGAACGGAGAAAAATTTCCACAAAGTGAGCCTAGATGCGGATAAGGAATTTGTTTTCATCAAAAATAGGTTAAGGTTGTGTGCGTACATCAACTTGGAGCTTGCAAAAGGTGGCAGGCTTAACTTTTCGCACATGCACCTTTCGCATTGGTGTCAGGGCTTATATGAAAAAGATCTCTGCACATTTACTTTGAGAACGATGCCTACGAACGCTGACAAAATGTCTGTAAATTCTGAAGGGGGTTACTGGACGCAAAGAGGACTGATGCGATCATTGGCCCCCTAATGTTCGGTAAGGGTTTGTGTAATAACCTCAATGTTTGACGTTTTGGTGCCCTTGGTGAGAGCCAACAAACTAGGTTGCAATCTTTACTACAATAGTTGTCGTGCATTTGTCAGCCAAACTTGTGTGATATGTGAACCAATTCATCTGAAAGAAGGAAAATTCTTCAAACTCAAGCAATCCCATCTCCCTACCTCATACTTGTCCGCCAACTAAGAGCACGTCAGCATTTGAGCCCCAATTCTCTACGAGAGTTAAAGCAAATTTAACGGTATATTTAACTAGAAAATTGAGTGTTACTTGTTTTAGAAAGGGAATCTCTCAACAATTTATCATTTTTTTGTTACCGTTAAGGAATAAATCGAGGATTTTCAGTAGGGAACTTGAAAGCATCTTTTGTGAAATTATAAATAGCTTAAGAACCGAGTGCCATTTTTCGTTTGCAATGAACATGCAGCGATTGTATCAACCTACTACTTAAGCCAAGCTTCGTCCGTATTATTGTTGGCCGATGCAGAAGCATTTTTTGGAAGGCAGAACAGATTCCAGAAATTCAGCTATTTGGATGTACGCCAAAAGTGTGGAAAATACTGGCAGGAAAAACTATACCAGAAAAAACTCAAACTCCTCTTTGATCACAAAAAAGAGAATAACTAAACTGATAAAACTTTTGCGTGCTTCGAACTTGATCTACGACATATCAGTTAGCGTGAAGTTACAAGTGATCTAGTAAAAGTTTGTAGTGTTCATTTTAACCGGAGTGAGTAAACCTGTAAATCTGAGTTAAATCTGAACACTGTCAACTCTAAACGTAATTAAGCCAAACTAATCACATTTTTTAGTCAGAACGATGAGAAAGATATATAGCGAAATGTGACGGGTTCAAGAATTTAGAAGTTTGGACCCGTAATGTTGGGTCGTTTGTTCCATTGGCGGTTGGACCTTGTAGGAAGCACTCACCGAAAATCCGTTTCAAAGAAAACGGGTAATTTTGTCAGCAATGCCGGAATTATCTCGATTTTACTCACAAATGAGAACTTCAATAATTATACGGATTTGGGATAGTTGAACACGCTGTTTATCTCAAAAACAGTAAAGCTGACTACGCGGGAAACTTTTCAAAAGGCTTAAGCAACTACGGCAATTTTGCACTCTAATCTGCTTTGTCTGTTGAGAATCCAGGAAAGCCTAACCAAAACACTTGGCGCGCCTCTGATTGATGGCAAATTTCACCGATAGTGTTACCCACCGAGCTCAATTTTATGAGTTTTGGGGAAACCTCCTCGGTTTTTTTAAGTCATTGCTTCGTTAACTAAACGGGGCTGTAGAAAACGCGATCCCATTAGTTCAGGTCGTATGTTCTTCTGCAAATTGTGCATCATTCCTGAAAACGTTCACAAAAATGGTGTTGACTCTGACACTTTTTGGGCGAGTTGTATTAAAATATCTACTTCTCTAATTGAGTAAACCTTGTTCCGATTGATCAAGGTTTGTAGAATATTTGTAGTTGTCTTCTCCTGACTTACGATTTGGAACATTATACGGTTTTGTTTACTGTGTTCGGTTTGTTCTCGAGATAGCTTTTTCGTTCAAACTGTGTATCTCTCGATCGAACTGGTAAGTACTGTGGACCAGATAGAAAACCTGACTGACAAGATTCTTCGAAACATTTTGTGATATTTTTCAACCCAATGAACTACATTCTGTATGATACCGGAGAAGATATTTCTTCGATGTTAATGTGTTTGTCCAACGTTGTTTACTCTCTAAACAGACGCATCTGTGCCTATGCAAAGAAACCAATATGTTGTCCTGGATGGTACAACAATATCAGCTCCCCGTGCTCCATACGTGAGTTTCGTTTTTCGAGCTACCGGTTGTGTATATACTTCCCATACAGTACGTTGCCGGCATACCTCCGCATGCCACATTATCAGCTTTGCTGTTCATAGCTCGCGTGTACATCTTACATCAATCTTTTGCTCCCTAATTACGTCATCAGAAAGAAGCTGCCACGCAGAACATTCCTTGCTAATGCGGCAGGGAAATTGATCTCTTCGGTCATATCATCGTTTATCCACTTCGACATATGTGGTTAGACTGGGACAGACCGCTCCAGTGGTCACAAATTCACAAGGATAGGTGAGGTTCCCAAACCAACTAGCATGGTAGAAGCACAACGAGGGTGGTCCGGGTATTATTTTCAAATTTATAAAATTTCAAAACCATAAGAACATAAATTTTGTTTGACTTTTGTTCTTGCCTAACCATGGGATTTTTCGTGTGTGATTTACCGATTTGTTGACCGAAAATAATTCAGTTTGCATTTACAGTCAAATTTTAAAATCTTCTAGTAGCTGACAGTGTGGTTCTTCGTGTCCGGAATACATGCTAAATGACAAACCGGGTACGATGTTTGTGAACACTTCATTTTGTAAACCGGTGAAACTGTCTCTGACTAATTAATTGAACAGGACAAGAATATTCTATACCGGTATTTGGTAAGTTTGCATTTTAAGCACTTCTGTAGATGGCATTCGAGATTGCAATTTTGATGTCAGTTGCACTTTACCTCAACACTTGTGAGCTGAGAAATGATTGGCTGTTAATCCTAAACAGAGAATGCGTGCACTTAATTTATTTCTACTGGAAATTAGCGTAGAAAACAAATGCAATGTGATGACTTCACGCAGTGATCCGTGGCAGCGAATCTAATGTCTGAACAACCGTTCATGCCCAAACGTCATACGCTTATCTTGAATTCTGCGACAGTATTCTATGCCCGCTCAAAATCCTGATAGCATTTGTGGAGTAATACCATGCATAGTGTCTATTTTGTTACCGATTTCGTCCTGTATTTAAAGTCCATTTATGCTAAAAAGCCGGGAAACTCTGGTCTGTCGTTTCATCCTCACTGTGGATCATCATCAGTGTACATCTAACAAAACTTTGCGGAGTCACTTATTCAAAACTCCCTGGATTTTAGTGAGTTGTCAACGGCTGATGATTCCCAATACGGCTGTAATGCCATAAAATGCTTCTTGGTTTTTCAGCACAGATTATCTTCAATTATGTTATGGAATCTTTATCAAATTTCCATATATCCTCATACAGTCAGCGACGTGTTCATTTTACGTCAAGGCAAACACTGTTTACTCTGGAAAGACAAACAAATTTCAAACGACGCCAAATAGCTTGTTTTAAGAATCTAGGATCTAGACAGACTCCGTCATCTGATGGTTGGTTTTGCCAGCGGTTGGTTGCGTGGTAATAGCTTGGATATGTGTCTGTCATGATTAATGACATAATATTGTGTTCTCAATTGGAATATGGCTGAAGATCGGATAATTTATGGATAATAAATAGAGGAACTAGATATTCCTTTCAAAAAGGGGATTTCCACAGGTGATCGGGCTTGTATCTATCATAGAACTACCGTAGGAACAGCACTTACTATACGTTCAGACGAGATAAACGGCCGAAACAACGGAACAGAAAAAAATACCTACAGTGGTGGCAATTGGAAAAA